ATGCCATGTCATCAATCTATACTCCAATCTGTAAATGATTACGTACAAGTAGCATTACTCAATTTGCATTCATGTTTACATTAGGCACATATAATAATTCTATTCATGTACTTGCATTTATGCATGTTTTGCAAAGCTTGTAATTGATTATAAATTAGTCAAATTCTATTTTTATCTACTTGTTTCATAGGAACCACGGCTTTTACCTAATAAAAAATATACTTATTATCTACACATTTCGTTGGACCTCCAACTTATAATCTAATAAAATCTTTGCCAAACATTCCTTTGAGCTCTTTGTTGGGGTCGTTCAACAATGTTTCCTTCCTGCATTCGGGTCTTGAAATATAATTATGCGATCATACCTTCAAAGTTGTTTATCCCCAGAAACAAAGTCCTGAGCATGGTCAAGCTGCCAATTGCACTTGGTATGCTTCCATTGAAATGATTGTAGGATAATGACAGGTACTCGAGGTATCTGCACTTGTATATCTTTGATGGAATTTGACCATTGAGTAGATTCTTCGAGAGATAGAGTTCAGTCAATTTCGGGACACTATCGCATGTATTCTCCGGAAGCATTCCTGACAGGCTATTAAACGAGAGATCAAGTGCTTTCAGAGAAGATATGTTGAAGATACCAAAAGGTATGGACCCCAGAAGCTGGTTAGACCTTAAATTTAATATTTCGAGGGCAGAAAGATTCCCAATCTCGTGTGGAATATTACCATTTAGGAAATTGTCGTTCATTTGCAGTATTCGTACCTTTGAATTGTTGCATAAAGATGGCGGGATGCTGCCTGAGAAATTATTGTTTTGCAGAAGAATATGCTGAAGTTCGGGTAAGGTTCCAAACCATGAAGGTACCTCTCCAGTGAAGCCGTTAGATCCCACGTTTATCTCCTCTAAACGTGGCAAATTGGAAAGCTCGGGGGGTATTATCCCGTGAAAATTGTTGGCGCTGATGTCTATAGAACCGAGATACGTTAAATTTCCAAGATGTGGAGAAATAGTGCCTGTGAAGTCAAACC